CTATAGTTTATCGTTGACGCGACAGCAATATCTTTCCTTGATTATTGCAATTGAGTGAAAAAAAGGAGATAAATAATAAAAACGAATGATAAGAAATACGCTGAAACGAATGTAGATTATAATAAATCGCATAATTTTTTGTCGAGACGATTGACCACTTACGAAGTGATACGCTCCTATTGTATTTGTAGCCGTCTATTTTTAAACCTTATCTTTACTAATAGGGCAACAACTAGCTTAATAAAGTAACAAATGATTACTGCAATAACTACGTAGACCGTACGATGCAAAAAACCACTGATAAAAGAAAGAAAAAAAGACATGCTCATCGTGATAAGGTAATTTCACGTGACCCGTAATTGCTCAATTTTCTTAAAATATGGTTAATGAAATATAATTGTAACCCAGATTATAAAATCAATCGATAAAGAAATACAAAGAAAACGTCAAGTGGAAAAGTGATATTAATTTCCAATTACACATTTCAGAAGCATGTGCCATTTGTGGATCGAGTTATATCCATACTAATCGATAAGAAATATTTGTGTACACTCCCACTCATAAGACACAAAACATCGTCAACAGAATAAAGTTGTTGACAGATTTTGCACAAGTCTATACAAGATTCTAGATCAATAATTTGTGTACAGAAGAAGGTCGAATATACAGTAATTGGTTTAGGCTTGACTATGAATTCAAGTCAAATGGTTGGATGGATTTGTGAAATTTTACAATTAAATCAATGATTAATAAAGAATTTTTGAATACTTCTTATTGGTTCACTTTATATATACCCTGAATCTCATTGATTGTACGATCGAGATATTTTCGTAAAATGGATGGCTGGATGGATTTGTCAGATTTTATAATCGAATCAATTATTATTGAAGAATTGTTGAGTATTTCTTATTGATTCATCCTGTATATTCCCTGAATCTCGTTGATTACACGCTCGAGCTGTCTGATTGTGAATTTGAACAATCATCGATGAGATATTTTCACGCAGGTGACTCGCGTGACTCAGTGTTGGCAAATGCTTGCGCCGGGAGTTCCACGCGGGAACTCGTTCCTCATTGTAATTCCAGCTTCTGTTCAAGGAACCCAAGCATCTCGTTCGCCTGGTACGAGTATCATATCCATAACAATGATAAACGAGTATCACGTGCAACTAATTAAATTTTACACAATTCCCTCCGCCTCCAAAAAAGACTTCAACAGAATCCTATGTAAAAAGAGTTGGTTAAGTTTAATAAAAGATTCTATTACATCTGCTGCTCTTAGAGACAGGAAAAAGGAACTTATTATTTTGAAATCCACCGGAGGGAAACAAACACGCCTTAAATGAAATTTCTTTTAACGAAATTCTTTCATCTTCGCTTTTTGTGCTGCGCGCGAGAGGTAATCGGTATCATACCGCGGGCGATTTTTAACCGAACACTTAAATTGGCGAAATGAGCCGTTAATTAATTTCCGCCGTGGTTTCGAGGAGGAGTTTCCCTCTTAGCCGATCAAAGAAGAAAGTTCGATCAGCGGGACGCGAGACAACTTCGATAATTGCCGCTCCTCTTCCGAACCGCGCGACAAACTTTCGGTTAAAACGTAATTTGTAACAATTTACGGTGACGCCTTCCCGTGCTAACGAGTTCCGAGAATTTTCGATCGGAACGTTTGACATACCTGCCGTAAGTAAATGACATGAAAAAAATGTTGAAACACATCGTGTTAACAGACAGAATTTCGTTAACAAACATCAAGTGTTCCATCGCGTATAAACATCCGCAGTCTAGTTATAATAAGCAGGAGGTAACTATAAATAGAAAATTGCATTTGACTGTGGGCAACCTAATTCAGTGTTAGAAATGCAGCCTGTTAACTGACGCCCGTTTATTTCAATTATGATTGACGTCCGCCGTTATTCCTCCTCCCTTCAGCATCGCTTATTATACAATTCACCGCGGTCAACGCTGGCTGCCATGAGTAGTTGTACATTATACTGTGATCAAAAGGTGCGGAAGGAGAGAAGAAAGTAGCCTCTGCATTGGCAGCCCGTACTGTATCGTTGCTTTCGCGTTAAAAGTGACTCGGTGATGGAGAACAGAAACGAGAAAGGGTAAAAAGCAAAAGAAAGAAAAAGCGAACGAAAGAAAGAACGAAATGCCGAGGACGCGACTTCTCAACGATGCTTCCGACTGAAGGAATCCAGGCATAATGGAATGTCAAGTTGCATGCAAAGAGAAAGAAATAAAAGTAAACCATCGACGCGACGAGCAAGAGAAGAGACATTGTACTTCTCGTTTTATTTCCTGTCGTCCTGTCGTTACTTTCATCTGGTTCTCCGTGTTCCATTTGGGAAACGTTCCGTAGAAAAGTGAAAACAACGACCGGATGGAAATATAGCGAAGAAAGGGAGAGAGAGATACATTGGCTCCTTGTTATTTAGCAAAAGAGAGGAGTCGTTTCGGAATGTAAAGGAGTATGCAGCGTGCATACGCGCGACTGTGAACGGACGATCGTTCGTGTGTTTATCAGCGACGACAGAGAAGAATAAGTATGAGATCGGAGTTTATCGCGCGGTTCGAGGGAAACGACCTGGAATACCGATTGCGATAATATTTTACTGCACAACCTCTCTTGCTTTTGTATATTATTAAACTGGAACGACGAAGAGAGATAAATGATAAACGAAATATGAATTTCAAATTACGTGAAAAATACTAGTCGAATAAAATTTGGAGCTCCAATAATAGTTAAACCTGGGAAAGCTCTCTAACTATAAGAACAATTCACAGTTGTTCCTAACCAGTAGCTTCAGCCTCCTTGGATTTTCTGTATTCATTGTCTTCAACGTGGGACAACAACAGAGATAAATAATAAAGGAAATATGAATTTTAAATTACATCAAAAATGTGTTCAAGTGAAATAAAGCTTGAAGCTCTAAAACCCTTTAATCCTTTGCACTCACTGGAAACGACAATGCACACTGGGATATAAAATAAATCTAGTGCAAAGGGTTAAATACAACTGTGTAACATAAAACTGTTAAAACAGGAGAAGCTGTCTAACTACGTGGACTACTGTCGTTTGTCCCTGGCTAGTAGCTTCCGTTCCAGCAACTTTCTACTAAATTTGATTTGTTAATTTAACGAGAGTCCAGACTGACTGACTGACTACTGAAACGCCGAGCGTTGACTGTTCCACGAGCAAACAGTGTTTAACTGGGAAAAGCAATTACTCGAGAGGATCGTGGACCCAGTTCTGTCCAAACCGAATCTCAAAACCGTTGTAAGAAATAAAACCAAGAAGAAGAAAAAGAAAAGGAGAAGAAGGAGGGAAACAATACTAAATTTACACAAATGAATCACGCGTTTCTCGTTTAAAAAAAACAGTGAGAGTTCATAAAAAATGGTCCGTGTTTGTTTGTAGACGCGTCGAGTTGTTCAAAGAATTCAATGATGAATTTCTCGAAGTCTGGAAATTTTCTTCTCATTTCTTCTTCTTCTTCTTCTTCTTTTTTTTTTTGAAGAATTTGATAAACGTACCGATAATAATCGATCTCGGGAACGGAGATCTAATCGGTTTTGATTTTATTTCGAACGCGCGGAAAACGGTGCCGATGCAGTGGCTCAACCAGATTTGCATCGCGGCACTATTATGCTCCCGTAATTGCTAATGCGATTAAACTCGCGCAATATCATGAATATTCCATCGGGCTATTCAACGCCGGTACGTCTAAACCGAGAAAAGTGAACGCCGCCCGAGTGTTTCCCACCGTTGAAAGACTGTTTACCGATTACTTAAACAGTACGTAATTACAAATTATTTAATACGATATTGAGTAATTAGTAAACTGTTCAGAATGTTATTCGACGGCACGAAATTGACGTTTTCATTTTACAGGGAAATCGGCGGGCCGAGGGAGCTGCCACGGCGAACATTTCTAATTAACTGTTTTGATGGACATCTAATTGGCAGCCGGCGTTGCTGCACGTAAATAGAAAATGACAGCGCAGGCCTAACCCATAATCGGCCAATAAGGCCGTTCAGTGGTTCGAGCTGCTGGAATTTTAAAATGTCGAACACACCTTTCCGGATGTCGATAAGTATTATTCTTAGCCGGCGGTCACAATGAACAATACCTAATCCTGAGAACCTCTTATATTTCAGTACCAGTTCTTTCGCCAAATAGCGTTATTCATAAAACTAGCACGATATTACAACGGAGCACCGATGCCGTATCGCAAAACAATTTATTACGGCTTCGTATAGCTATACTCAAAACAATTCTCGCTTGCCATGCGCCATTGCAAAAATTAAATTTCTAAAGAAATTCTGTTTGGCTCTCGACTCTTACACCTCGACGTCCAAATGTTCGCCAAGACTGTTCCAGCTGTCGGTTTACCCAATAGAAGCTATTCAAGTGAACAGCACTACATTATATCGAAAATAAAAGAAAACTACTGACAGAAAGTAATTTCAGCCTCTTGTTACTCGAAGTATAATGCACGCTCGCAGAAAAGTGCTTTAAAACGAGATAACAAATTTTTTACGATGCAAACCATTTGAAACTGCGTCGACAAAGGCGAACGTTACGCTGGCTTTTAACGCGGCACCGGTAATGATACGTTTTTAATTTTATCACCGAGTATCTCGAAAATTCCAGTGGCCTAAATCTATACGCGTAATATCGACGGTTTCATGAATATTCCAACGCGTAAATGTTGTCCAACTGAACCAATCCGACTCGCGTATCAGGAAGAAAATACCTTAGCGGAGGAGAAGCGAGTGTTAAACCGACCGTGACGACGACGTAAAAACGTGAGAAACCGTTTCTCAATTTAACGTGCGTGCATACGTCTTCTTCAACTTGAATTTTATCGACGAACAAAGCCTGTCTGTTTCCGGCCGCTCGTAGCTTTCTTTTGTTGCTCGTCAAACACGTTTCTTATTACCGTTTCCCCTTTGTACGATCTCGTTTCATTTTTTTTTTTTTTTAACGCCGCTTGGAAAGCGCGAGGTCGTGATAATTGCTACAGAAACGACGCGCGGGTGGTGTGCGAACTTTCTGTAAAATTTTATGCTTAAACTCGTTCCGACGTAAATTGAAATTTCATGATTATTTTCTCACCGCTGCGTACTTTACCCTTATCAGTAGTAGTGTGTTTAGAACCTGTTCACCTGGCATTCAGTTTTTAACTAAATATAAATATTCAAGAATATTAATGAAAATTGAATTTTTACTGTATAAAGATTATTTGTAAANAAGCAACGCCAGGTCTGGCTAACAGTAATTCGTTCGACGATGTTATTATGAATAATTTATAAATTTCTGCTGGAGCAGCGTCGAACTCATCGGAAACTCGATCTACATACAATCATCTCCGACGGAAACTTCCACTTAATTACTTCGAAATCGGTCGATTCGAACTCCGCCGTTTGACGGGCACAGACAAAATTAGAATACCGTTTCCCAACTTCTACTTTCAAAACTATCATAACGTCATTTATCAACGAGGATACTTGTATACGTTATATACTTCTAATACTGTGATCAACTAGTAACATTGTATAAATACTGTAGCTAAAAATAAATTCGCACTCTACTTATGCATACAGGGACTACATACATACTCAGACTATCCATGTACTTAATTTATTTAGTCTAATAAGAACTTGTGCAAAATACCAGATAAATCAATTGGACACTAAAACACTCTTCTAAATTTTTACGATTGATAATTCTAACATATAAAAAGAAGCAAGTTTAAAGAATGCTCATTTTATTATATCTTGTACTGAAACTGTTCAATGATTCATTTCGAGATCTGTTATATAATTTATCACATGATTACGACTACACATATGATTAATTTAATAATCATATTTCAATTAAAATAATCTTTTACTAATTTGGAATATGTATCAGCTTCTCTCATAGAAAGCAAGCACTTAATCAGACTCATGAACAGATGTGTACTTAGAATAAATAGGCATAGAAATACTAGACACTGTAAACAATTTCTACAGCTGTAGCGTTTGAATCGCTGTCAGTATGTCGAATTTCCATTCGTGCGAAGAGAGTCTGTCTCCAACGTGTACTTACGTACCGGAAGTTGCTGCACGCGTGCTGAGCATACGGGATGAAGGACAGAAGTTTACTCACCTGCAACAGACAAAAAGACAATGGTGGTCAAGCTAATTCGTTTCTTGAGATCGACACGCGGAATTCTTAATGCTTCATCGATTTTATGAGGTGAAGAATTATCGCCGCTCAAATGTTCAACGATCTCCTTTTACGCGCATTGAAATCACTGATTCTTCATTTCATTCATCTAATAAAATTATACTGGTATCAAAAATTATGTAATATCAATTTAAAATATGAAGTCTAAATTGATGTTTTACTCCTGAAGAATAATAATATGCACTTATGTTTCTTCTTGAATATTACATTTATTTATATTTTAGCAATTAAGCAACATAGGAATGATAGTGAAAGATGTGCGAGGGTGAAGTGAAAGGAAAGGTTCTAATAAAAGCCAAGTCTACATTCTTGCAAGACTGAAATAAAGAATTACTGTCATCATTAAGTAACAAATTACATTTTGGAAAATCGTATTATTTTAAATAGCAAAGTTTAAGATAACTTTGTTGTCTGACATAAAAGCTAGAAAATGTTGTTGGAAGAGTATAAGGCCGTGTGTTATAATTTTTGTATAATTCTATGGAGGACAGTGTTCGACGTAACTAGAATGTGGCCGGCGATCACGTACCACGTCCCATTGTTTTCCATCGACCTATCGAATAATACACGCGTGTCCAGAATGCCACCCTGTGTTCTAAGTTGGCATGTTTCCTCTTATTTCAAACGCTTCCACCGAGAGATACGGGCGCGAGTTATAAACCGTCCTCTGTATTCTTCGTGTTGAACGCGTTCAGAAAAATGGGACTATTCCCAGGCTGCGAACCGACCGCCAGGCGACGGAACACGCGGGACGATAAAAGTGGCTTTCAATCTCGTTCCAATTTATTACTTTCGCCTCGTGTAATTGAAAAATTTCAAGACCGGAATGAAAATGGCACCGTGTAACGGCGAGAACGTTCTCGGGTGAAATATTTAGGACTCGACGGGAAGTTTTAACAAAGGAATCGGGCGGGTTTACGCGTGCATGCGTCTGGAATCTTTCAGGCACGTGTAAAATTGAAACGGCCTAAATGCTAACGGATCTGGCACGCTTCAAACGCATGCGGAACTTTCCCTAGACCGGCGCGGCGGTGCGGTGAGGTGCGTTGCAGTACCCATTGTGGTAGAGCGCAGGTTTTTATTACCCTATCAACGCTATTTACGGTAGGCTTGTATAATTCTACGCAGTAGAACGTGAACGCTGCTGGAATATTCGTTGCAGCGCTTCCTCGCGACGTTTAAATCACGATTTAATCTCCGTGTCTCCCTCCTGCGGCTCCAATTCCTTTTCTCTTCATTTTTGTTTTTTAATAATTATACGGAACATGGTAATTAGGTACGAAACATTGCGCACAATGTTCGGGGCGCCAGTAAGCTCTGGAATTTGCTCCGCATTGCGTTATTAGAAAACGGGTTGCACTCCAATTACAACTTTTCTCTGACTCTAATTACAGCTTTATTAAGGATGTATGAGCTGTAAGATCTCTGGCAAAAGTTAATAAGCTGCGTCTAATATTTGAGGCAATGAACAATTTCAAGTTTAAAATATTCTTAAATCACGTATTAAGAATTATACAAAATTCTGTCATTGTTCCATTCATATTTTTTCGTAAACGAAATCAAAATTTTGTCACTCGACATAAGAATTCAAGATGTAATAATTTCTTTAATAGGCTCGCAAAATTTCTAAAATTTTGTACAGCGTTTCTAGTAACTGTTAATAACAA